CACTCAATTGAGTGTCTTACGTCTTTAGAAGCATGGCCTGGCAGGCTGTGTGGTAGTTCTGGTGGTGCAGTGGGACACTTAGAGTAGCTGGAGTGGTGCAACACACTGGCCAACTCCCACAATGACAGCAGCCAACTCCCTCAATGACAGCAGACCTGTGACAGCAGACTCAGAGGAAGCCAGGATGAGGAGCAGAGCTAGAACTGGCTACAGAGGAACAAGCACTGCATGGGCCAACCTGACTTAAGTATAGCACTGACAACACCTTGAAAATGCAGCAGCTCTACAGGGACATCCAGGAGAGGAATGGTAACATGTGTTCAGGACTAGGACTTAACTGATCTGGAGTGTGACTATCCTTTTCATGTTAGTGCTGTGGGATGTGTGTAAGACAGTTGATCCCCTCACTTCATTGTTAATACGTTATGGCATCCTAGGCTGAAGAAATCCAGTCTTTCTTTTTCCTTTCCTGATCAGCTTTAATAAGTCATGTCTGGACTGTGGACTTTTCTGGAAACTAAAACAAACACAAGACTAGTTTTCACACCAAGAAAGCAAAGCAGAAAACTCCTACATCCCGAACGTAGGTAATGTAGGTAATGTCTGGTGTATTACTATATGATAAGATTTATATGGAGGAAGGGGAAGAGAATTTTTTTGGAAATCCGTGTTAACTTTGGGATTCCTGGGCACATAGTTTGAAAATTAATGGAATATATCCCTTTTGAAGGGATGTTTTTCTGTTTTATTTCATGATACATACAGTGGAAAGCATCAGACAGACATGACTTTAGTCTTGATCTCACTGTGGTGTTAGGGAAGTGGTTTCCCCTCTTGCAGCTTACAATGAAGATACTAGTCAACTCCAGGGAGGGGCTGTGGTAAAAATTAAAAAGGCTTGTAGTTGTAGAACATCAAATTCAGTGCTCCACACAGGATGAGTACTCAATAGTGGTTAGCTGTTTCTGTTAGTAATTGGTAATTTATGTTACAATTTGTTTGAGGTCAGGCACAGATTCAGTTTTTCAGGTAATGATATTCCCTACAGCTGGCGTTGTTGAATTTCTGAACAAGAGCTTGTTGTTTTATGCTCGTGGCCTTTTTTTGTTGAAGGGTTTTTAAATGGTAACCTTGAAAACAACCATGGATAGTTACTTATTTTTAATTCACACTTTTTGAAAACTGGGTATGCTTGTTATGACTGTGTACTAGGTATAATAGGTTTTGTAGTGAAAATCTGAAGAAAAAAGAGTTGAAAGCCTTTCTTCTAAGTTTTCTCCTTGATGCAATGAAAATATTATTCTAGCAAAATGCCACAGCTCTCTTGGCACACATTGAAAGGGGTGATTCTGGGAAACGTTCCTTTCAGTTCAAATGTGAGTTTTGCTCCATTTTGTTTTTTAAACAATAGGAAAGAATAGCCCCATGCTACCTCTTTTGTAAATGTAGACATTAATTTTTTTTTTGCATTTGGGAGATGGGAGGATAGTTTTAAGTCTAATGGTTAGGGCTTGTGTGATTAGATAGGCTCTCATGAAATGCTTGCCATTTCATGAGCATTCTCTGTATATTGGATGAGTTAGTGCTGGGGACAGAAAGGGTGCCAAGATTCAGGCTGCACCCTCTGAAAGTTCACTGGAAGTTCATTATTTGCTGTCCTGATTGTGCATTAGCAAAAGTGTCTTCCCCTAAGGGCTCAGGAGGCTAACGATTAATAAGGATTTCCCTGCATGCCTTTTTCCCTCAATTTCTTGGAGAAGGTTAAATGGGTAGATCTGTTAATCATGTTCCTATTTTTGAAGTTGATGAACTTCAGCAGTAGATTCTGATGTACACTCACTTGCTATGGAAAGAGGTAATAGCTGTAAAATTCCTTAATTGAGTTGTAAAGTGATTTATAACTGGAGGAGAGGATGATATTAATGTTGTGTCACACTTTCAGGTTGAGTTAAGTTATTCTTTCCCTCCTCTGAGTAGAAGTTTGTATGCTTATAAAGTCTTAGGAAATAATAATTTGCATAGTGGCTTAGTTAATGAGCAGGGGAAATTGATTTTGCCTCTTTTCTCCTTAGGAGACTTTTGACAATGGCTGGAACATTTTTGATTGCCTTTTCTTGGGATTGTGAAGGGCGCCCAGTGTTGTGGTACACTGCACATTAATACTGCTTGCCACACCAGCCTCCCATTTTGGAGTTCCTAATTCAGTGTCTGCTACTTGATTTCTCTTCTTTTTTTTTTAAGATTTGTTTATTTTTATTTGAAAGGTGGATATACAGAGAGGAGGAGAGACAGAGAGGGCGATCTTTCGTCCGATGGTTCACTCCCCAAGTGAACTCAACGGCTGGAGCTGAGCCAATCCGAAGCCAGGAGCCAGGAGCTCCCACGCAGGTGCAGGGTGCCAAGGCTTTGGGCCGTCCTCAACTGCTTTCCCAGACTACAAGCAGGGAGCTGGATAGGAATGGAGCTGCCGGAATTAGAACCAGATCCCATATGGGATCACAGCACGTTCTGGGTGAGGACTATCTGCTAGGCCACACTGCCTGGCCCCTGCTACTCTATTTCTGATCAAGCTTCATGCCAATGCATGTGGGAAAGCAGCAGATAACGGCTCAAGTATTTAGATCCTGGCCACCCTTGTGGGAAACCTGAATAGTGTTTCTAACTCCTGACTTGGGCCTGCCAGTCTGGCTGTTGTAGACTTTGGGGAGTAAACCAGATAATGAAAGTCTCTCTCTCTTTCTCTTCATGTCTCCTTCTTCCTTTCTGTCTCCATCTCTTTCCTTGTCACTCTGCTTTTCAAATAATAAAATAAATCTTTTAAAAATGTAATTTTTATAACTGGAAAAGGGAGTAACATTACTGGGATCAAGGGTGGAGGCCAGAGATGCCCCCAAGTGACGTAACAGAACAGCCCCTCAACACTGAAGTTATCTGGTCTGAACATGTCAGAAATATTGACAAAACTGGTCTTGATGCATACTATTGGATGAAGCTAAATTTAAGCTAGCATTCTGACACCACCAGTTATTAACTGTACCAACCAAAGTGATTTAGTTAACCCCTGTATCTATAAAATATACTCCTTATGAAGAGAAATTTTGAAATTAAAATAGAGTAGATATGAAGTGCCTACCACACAGTAGCTACCCAGTAAATGCTAACTCAGGGTTAAGGTTGGTGAGTAGATCTTGGTCAAAAAACAGGGACTGTGCCTCAGACAGACATGGCTTTATCTTTTTTGATCCATTCTGCACAGAGAGAATTCAGATTTTTTTTTAAAGGTCAAGATTTTTATTTTTATAAGGGTTTTTTGTTTGATTATTTGTTTGTTTTTAGTTTTAATTTACCTGAGGGGTAGGCAGACAGCTCCCAACCATTACTGGTCCATTCCTCAGATGTCTAGAGTCTTAGAATTTGGTACAGGTCTCCTACTCCTACATGGGTAGCAGGGACCCAACAACGTGAACCATCCTCTGCTGCCTCCTAGGGTATGCAGTAGTGGGAAGCTGGAGTTAGGATACGGATCCAGGTACTTCAGTATGAGACTGAGGCATCCCACCTGACTCCCTAGCCACTAGGCCGAATACCTAGGTTTCCTAATGCTACCCATGGGGCCATGCTAGGGTAGGAGCATAGGCTTGCAGCCTCTAACACGTATGCCTTTTCCCACACCTTGGCCCTGGTTCTGCCAGACAGCTGAGTGTGGTCAACAGATCATTCCAAGCAAGCAAGCAGCATAGGATCCAGACCTCTCTGTGGAGCGGAGAGGTGAGCTGAGGATAACAGAGCTCCCTGTTCCCTCTGGGCTACACTTGGAAGCAGGAGATCGCCAGGCAGAGGGCCCCAAAGGTTATGTCTCAGACTTCAGGAAGCACCATCATAATCTTCTGCAAATGTTTTCTCTGTTGTGCGAACAGGCAAGGAGGTCTGGGAGTTTTTCCACTTGTTCTCAGCCTCTCCTGCCCATAGAATCCTTGCAAGAGTACCTTCACATTTAGCAAAATGCTCCAAAGCCAGTTTTGCTGTGCCTGTGCACACTGCTAAAATCAGGCTCTGATCATGTGTAACTAAGAGACTTCTTATTTACATATGACTTCTCTACTTCTCAGAATCTTAGAATGGAGGAATTAAACTTAATGCTGTCCCACACATTATTCAAAACTGACACCTTCTCCTTGGTGATAAATTGTTCTCTACATTAAGTCAACCTAATTGGATGACAAGGATGATTAACCTAGGTGTAAGGAAGGTCTTTCTTGGTAGGTCTGGAAGGGCTGTACAAACTTCCACACCAACTAGGTGGCAATCAGCTATCTCTGTTTTTGTATGTGAGAAGGATTTAATACCATACCAGAGCACTAGTTGTTGAATGAGTAATTATAATGTTGATGAATCTTATCTTATAATTGAAGTAATAGGTGACATCAAAATATGTTATTTTATTGAAAAGGTAGATTTACATAGAGGAGAGACAGAGAGAAGGAGCTTCCATCTGCTGGTTCACTCCCCAAATGGCAGCAAAGTTTAAATGACTGCCCATGATGCTGACATCCCATATAGAGACCAGTTCAAGTCCCAGCTGCTCCAGTTCTTGATCCAGTTCTTCCTGCTAATGCCAGGGGAAAGTAGCAGAAGATGGCCCAAAGCCTTGGGGCCTTGTGCCCATGTGGGAGACCTAGAAGTTCCTGGTTCCCAGGTTTAGATTGCCCCACTTCTGGCCATAGCAGCCAAATGGGGAATGAAACAGAGGATGGAAGATCTCTCTCTTTCTCTCTTTGTGCCGCTTTTAGTGCTGACTTCCCAATTAAATAAAAAAAATTTTTTTAAAGGAAATTATGCATTTTTACCCATTATTCGTGAGGCCAACTGACATGTACACAGGGAAGGAGTGAAAATTTCCATCTGTTTGGTCCACGAATGCCCACAGCAGCCAGGACTGGACCAGAGTAAAGCCAGGAACCTAGAGTTCCATAGATGGCAGGCTCTCAAGTACTTGAGTCATATCTGTTGCCTCCCAGACACACTTGCAAGAAGATGGAGAACAAGTAGCTGGGACTCAAACTGGCACTCTGATTCATGTATCTCAAGTAGTTGCTTAACCAACTGCATTTATTGCCCATCTTACCACCTGCTCTCTTGAGACCAAGAGAATATCCAAAGATTTCAGTTATGTCTACAGTCAAGAAATTGAAGAACTACATTTACACAAACTTATGAAAATGGAACTAAATTATATGTTTTACTTAATATTACCTCTAGGTCACGATTTTCTAAGAAATAGAACTTTTTTTGTTAGTGAAAATATCTCACTGCTTTCTTTTCAGATTCATTCTGAAGAGGATTGATAAAGCTGTATAAGAAAGTAGATAAGGTAAAGTCTCTGGTGGAGTGTAAGGCTCTTGAATTACAAAATTTATATTTGTCATGATGCATTCATTGTATAAATATCTTTATAGGTTTTCCACTGTTGTGCTTAAGATAAAGGTGTTCATAGTATTCCCTTGAGTTGCTAGAAAGTGGAATTAGTGGGGCAGGTATTTTGTGCAGGGGTTAAAGTTGCTACATTGGATGCCCACATCCCATATTAGTGTGTCTAGTTTATTTCCTGGCTCCTCTGCTTCTGATCCAGCTTCTTGTTAGTGCGTATTCTGGGGGAACGAATGGTGACTTAAGTGTCTAGGTCCCTACCACCCATGTGAGAAATCCATATTCAGATTCAGGTTCTTGGTTTTAGTTTTGGTCTTGGCTAGCCTTGGTCATTTTTGCTGTTTTGGTAGATGGAAGACCTCTCTCTATTTTCAAAGAAAATGAAATACAAATAATTTTTTTAAATTTTAAAAAGAAAATGAAATTAGTTACACACATGGTCTAACATGATTTGGCTGCAGTACCAAAATGTCTTTTGGACACATTCAAGAATGTCATTGAAACTGGTGGCCTGTCAGGAAGGCAGAGACAGATTTCATCAAATCTCATTTGGAAGTGGTTCAGGTTAATTTCTGAAGTGCATGATTCTTTTCTTTTTTTTTTTTAAATATGTGTTTTATTTATTTGAAAGGGAGAGAGAACTTTCACCCAGTGGATCACCACACAAATGGCTACAATAGCCAGGGCTGAGCTAGGCTGAAAGCTGGAGCCAGGAGTTTTTCTCTCAGGTCTTCCATGTGAGTTCAGGGGTGTAAGTGCTTGGGCCATCTTCTGCTTTCTTTCCCAGGTGTGTTAGCAGGAAGCTGGATTTCTTTCCCAGATGCATTAGCAGGACTCAAACTGGTGACCATGTGTGATGCTACTGTGACAGGCAGCAGCTTTACTAACATGCCACAGTATCAGCCTCTCATATTCTTCTTTAAATCATTGTGAATGACAACTTATTTATAACTTCTATTTTGGGAAAGATTGCCACCTTCTGAGATACTAATGTTAACTTACAGATTCCTAACAATTTTCTGTCTCATCTGGGTTGTTAATATTTTAGATCTTTACAATTATAGTTACTCTAACATTGAGGAACACTTTGGAGGAAAGATAGAAAAAAGTGGTTGATGTTTTTGGGATATAAATGGAATCAGGCAAGGGCAACAGAAGTTGGGTTCAGATAGAAAAACTGTCAACTCATCTGCAGGGATTTTTTTGGGCAAGTATTTGACCTAGCAGTTAAGATGCCCATGTCCTACTTTGTTCAATACTTGGTGCTAGTTTCCGATTCTAGCTTTTGGTAATATAGATGCTGAGAGCAGCAGAGATGGCTCAAGTAATTGGCTCTCTCCTGCCATCACAGGAAATCTGGATTGAGTTCCCAGATCCTGCCTCAATGTCTGCTCAGTCCTGGCCTTTGCAGACATCTGGGAAGAAAATCCATGGTTGGAACTGTCTCTATAATAAATAAACGGTAAATTAAAGCAAAAAAAAAAAACACAGTTACAAAATGTTTGCAAAAGTGTGGGTTACACAGAAGAGCACATATTGATAACAGTAATATAGCTATCCATATATCAACTACAGGATATTAAGTGTAGCTGCATCAACATCTTGTCATATGAGATAGAAAATGTTAAACTGGTTAGAATTATCTGCCCACTCTGTCTCATGGCCTAGAGAATCGCTGGGTCTGAATATTAAGCAAATTCCAAAGAGATATATATCTGTGTATATATATATATGTCTGTGTATATATATATATCTGTGTATAAAGGCACAGCCACATAAACTAGCTATCATATGTTGAGCAATTGCTGTGTTTTAGGGTTGTGCTATGTATTTTGCTTGTAGTACTTTTAGTCGTTGCAACACCCTTAAGAGGAAGATACTGCTCCAGTTTACAGATGAGCAAACAGAGATAAAGTAGCTAGCCAGTATAGTTAGAGTCAGAAAACCGGAAGGCAAATTTCTTGATTGTGAGGGGCAGCGGGTAGAGTTTGGAAACCCTGGTTTAATGAAAGGCTCTTTTGGAGTGCCCATGTAGCCTGTAATTAGAGCAGGGTAGGGTTTCCTGTGTGCAGCTCAGCACCTTGTCTCAGGATGGCAGAAGCTGGGACTTTCTAAGACTGAATTAATCTAAGTGGTTCCTGAACTAGAGAGTGAGGGAGTATATTGAGCGGGTTCTTGTTTCATATTCCTATAAAAATGCACATATGGGTGTAAGATAACTGCAACACATTAAAATGTGGAAGTACTTGGCCTTCAACTTTGGTAATAGTTCAGTGTGGAACCTCCCACCAGTTCATTTAAAGCTAACTTGAAGCTGACTGTGATTATGTATGTCATTAAGATATGGGGCAATGGCAATTTAATTATGTGGTTGGTTTAGTAAACTTCCACAGCACAGAGAATGAATAATAGTCAACTTATTATTATTATCGATGTTGAAAAGGCTGGGTAGTCGGTCCTGGCACAGTAACGTAGTGGCTAAAGTCCTCGCCTTGCACACCTGGGATCTGGTTGTAATCCTGACAGCCCTGCTTTCCATCCAGCTCCCTGCTTGTGGCCTGCAAAGGGAGTTGAGGACGGCCCAAAGCCTTGCATGGGAGGCCCGTGAGAGAGTCTGGGCTCCTGGCTTTGGATCGGCGCAGCTCTGGCCATTGCAGCCACTTGGGGAGTGAATCAGCAAATGGAAGAATTTTTTTCTCTGTGTCTCGTCCTCTCTGTATAACTGACTTTCCAATAAAAAGTAAATAAATCTCTCTCTAAATAAAAAAGTCTGGGTAGTTGTGCATGGCTCTAGTGACAGTGAAGTCCTCAGAGTGTTGCATCCCTACTGCTTCATGCTGACCCCATAACAGATTCAGGCCTTAAGAAAGGTAAGCACTTCTTACATAACTTTATGTGCTTAAATAATGCCTTTAGCACCTTCTCTTATCGATAATTAACAGATTACATGATTGAGCACATATTGTATGCTAAGAATTTTGTTATATTGTCTTCTCTCTCAAACTTCCTGCTGCAGAAAGCTTCAAACAGACAAAAGTGGACCGAATGGCAGAATAAACTTTTTTTATTTTTAAATTTTTGTTATCAATTTATGATACAGTTCCATAGGCCCTGGGATTTCCTCTATCCCCTCATTAAGTCCCCTCCTCCCTCATTGAGTTCCTCTATAGTATTACAATAATATAGTTCTTCAGAAACAATCTTAAGTCCATCAGTGCAGTCATGGGCAATGGCAGAGAGTCCAGCATCCTATTGTCAAGATATAGTAAACAGTTTCATTGGGAGTCCATCTTTGATCCGGAAGTAGAGATGCATAATGCATTGTATCCTCAGTCTCCATTACAGTTACTATACATCCCCTTAAATGAAAAGCCACAAACCACATCAACAACAGGAAGAAAAATAGAAATTTACCATGCCATTAAAGTAATTAATGATATTGAATGACTAATGTGTCACTGATGAAATGAAAAAGAAAATCAAGAATCTTCTGGAAGAAAATGATGCTACTGTATGATCTATTATCAGTAAAGAATTTAATGAGAAAAAGAAAGTGTTTTGAAAAAATGAAACTAAAACAAAAACATCAAAATCCATAAAATATAGTTTCCGCTGATCATTGTTGATGAAATGGATCTTCTGTAGGCAATAGAGAGATGGGTTTTGTTATTTTAATACAGTCTACTAATCTATTACATTTGGTTGATGGGTTTAAGCCATTTACACTCAAGGTTAATAGGCAGTAATTTGGTTCTGTCATTTTATCAACAGGTTGTTCATTGATTTAGTTATTTTACTGGGGTGTTCTTCACATTTGGCTTTGTTTTTGGTGCTATTCCTTTTCTCTGTTAGGAGAACATCTTTAAGTATCATTTATAGGGCAAGTTTGGAAGAAGCATATTCTTTGAGTTTTTCTTTACTGTGGAAGAATTTTATTTCCTTTTCAAAGACAGAGGAAAGCTTTGGTGGGTACACTATTCTGGGCTGACGATTTTTTGCTTTTACAATCTAGAATCTGTCACTCCATTCTCTTCTGGCCTGTAAGGCTTCCTGTGAGAGATCAATTGTGAGTCTGATTGTAATTCCCCTATATATCAATCAGGTTTTTTTCACATGCACATCTAAGGATCTTTTTCATATGTTTGATTGAAGAGCTTGATTATCATGTGTCGTAGTGAAGATCGCTTTTGGTCAAACCTATTGGGAGTCTGTGCCCCTCCTGTATTCTATTTCCCAATTCTTTCTCCAGAGTAGCGAAGTTTTCCTTTATTATTTCATTCAGCATATTTTTAAACACAGTTTCTTTTTCTGCACTTTCTGAAATTCCCATAATTATTATATGTGACTTTTTAATAGTGTCTCTTAATTTTGGATAATTTTTTTAGCTTGACCTAGCTGTACTTCCAGCTTTTTGATCGTTTCCCCATTGTGACAATAAATATCTTCCAATTCTGAAATTCTAAATTCTTTCTTTTGCTTCTTTTAGTCTATTTGGGAGACTTCCCAATTAATTTTTTAAAGATTTATTTTTATTATAAAGTCAGATATAAAGAGAGGAGGAGACACAGAGAAGAAGATCTTCCATCTGATGATTCACTCCCCAAGCAGCCACAATCTTCAGAACTGAGCCAATCTGAAGCCAGGAGCCCAGAGCCTCTTCTGGGTTTCCCACACAGATATAGTGTTCCAAGGGTTTGGGCCGTTCTCAACTACTTTCCCAGGCCACAAACAGGGAGCTAGATTGAAAGCAGGGCTGCCAGAAATAAAACAGGCACCCATATGAAATCCCACACATGCAAGGCAAGGATCTCAGCTGCTATGCTACTGTACTGGACCCTCTACTGAATTTTTAATTTACTCTACTGCTTCCTACATTTCCAAGAATTCTGCTTGATTATGTTGCTGTGTTGTTAATTCCTCTGTGACATATTCCTTAAATTACTT